CTTTCCCTTAGCCAAGTTTCTAGACAACTGCAGGAGAACACCTGAATCACATCCTCCACAACTGGGCACCTCAGAAGAAAGGCTACAGATCAAAGCATCACAGGAGCCCAGTTGCTTTCTTGCACTGTCTCCCATGGGAAGAAGAATCCACAGACACCAAACATACCAGAACATTGTTTTCTAGTTAAAGGATGTCCTTTCACAAACACATTAACAGCGTTTTTCAAAGTCATTCATTCTGAACCAGAAGAAAGTTTGTCTGAATTCAAACTCATGCATGACCCATTTGTTTATAATGACAGCATTCCTTAATTCAGCTTCAAATAGTCCCAGTTCAAAGTGTGTGGGGGAAAAAGGCAGCTCAAGGAGGCATCACATGGATGTCCAGGACACCAACAGCAAAGTGGAGACTTGAAGTAAGGCCTCAAGCTCCAGCACAATGCTCATCTACCTCTTACACAATAACTTACATCTCCAAACTGCCCTTCCACCACATGGCTGCATTTTCCTTACGTTAAGGCAACGAGAACAACAAACACTCCTAGTTTAGATCAAGGTCAAGTAAGTTCACTAAGGGCACTTACTCCAAGTAACCAGCTGTCAGAGTATCCTTACAGATTAAGCAAGTTTATCTGAACGTGATGATGCAGCTTTTAGCATTTATTTTAAATCGAGTTATAAGTAACTTCCTTAATGATAGGCTCAAGGATCCTGCTAAACCACTTAAAATCCCACGTTTAAAATTTGCCTCAGAACAGCTGAACTGTTGAAAAAAAAAGTTTCTTCTGCATATGAAATAAGTAAAACAAAAATGCAAATACCTCAGATGACTGCTGGGGAGGAACAGCACAGCAGAGACACAGGAAACCAAACCGTGCACCTTCCTTACCCACGTTTTCACGGACCAGGGCCGAGAAAGCAACGCTGTGTGCAGATAAATCTCCTCTGACCCTTCTATAAAACTGAACAGCGGATGCCGAGGGCAGGGGGAGGGCAGCGGGGCCCCGCCGGGACGTTGCGGGAGCAACAGACGCGGAACGGACACGAAACGCCGAGTCCCCAGTCAGTCTCCAGCGGGAAGCGTGACGAGAGGCAGCAGGAGCGCAGCCCTG